TCCCCGGCCGCCCCCAGAGCCACCGCAGCGGTTGGCTTCAGCGCCTACCGCTTGCACCTCTGCGGGTTTGGCCCTTCCACTCGTAATTCGTGACTGCAAAGAGCAAATGGCTTCCAGAGAGCACGGGGGGGTTTGCAGCCCCAGTGCCCCACAGCACCCAGCCCGGCAGCACTGAGCCCCACCAAAGCATCAGGGGGCAAGGAGAGACCCGCAGCAAGGTGATGCCCTGGCAGGCAATGTCCCCTCCACAGTCCCACCTCACACGGCCCGGGGGCAGGGAGCTATGAGCCCCCCCTGGGGCGAGCAGAAGGGGACGTTACCTCATCAGCACCATCCTTCACAAACAGGCAGGAAAGGAGTCCCCGCAGCCGAGCACGCAGAGGGCTCATCGCCTCCAAACCAACCAGACAGGAGCAGGCCTTGAATCGCCCATAGCATCCACACTTCACTCCAGCTCAGGGAGGAAGAACTGGCAACCACACACCCAAACCCCTGCCACCTATGATAACAATTAGAGACTTATCTAATTGCAAAAATAATTGCAATTGAAGTGTTTAATTACCATACTAAGCAGGAAGAGCCGCTTCCGACTGTTCCAGTAACACTCCTGATCCATCAAACAAGGTTTGGGGCTTGTTTGGGTGTTGGGTTTTTTTTTGATTATTAGATTGCAGCCCCGGGGGACGAAGAGATTTGCTAATTAGGGTCTTGGAGAACAGCTACCAATTCACAAACACTTGCTTTTAATTTCAATACTAACGAGGCTGGAAGGGGGAGAAATCCAAAATACAGAACATCTGTGTCAGTTGCTGTCTGTAGCTCTGCTGCCCGGAGCCCCTCACTGGGCTGGCAGAGGCCTGACACCGCTCGGTGCATGGTCAGGAGGCTATGAGGATGGGTTAGTACAGTGCAAGCACAGGCTGCGTGAAGCTGCCGCTCCAGGTCGCTGCTGTCACCGCAGCCACCGTACAAGCTAATCCCAGCATCGATCATCTGTCTGATCCCCCTGGGCACCATCAGCCAGGGTGGCTTTCTTGGTGATGGGCTAATCCTGGTCCTGGGGCAGTGGTGCCAGCCCCAGGGGTGCAACAGCAGGAACTTCTCCAGGTGACATTTGGTTTTGTTCTCCCCTAAACCACCAACAAAAGAGAATTTAATTCTCTCTCCAAGCAGCAATTCTAGGAGGGAAGAGAAAATGCTTAGGAAGCTCCTCACCAACATCTGCTTTCTCAGATAGGAATTATCCCCCTGCTAGCAGTGGGAGCGCAGACAGGGACAGCTGCCAAGTGCACGGGGACACCCCCATCCCCCTGTCCCCGTGGGGGACATGGGAGCTTACACTGCCCTGATACACAGGACCCCAGCCTCACCCTGCTCCATCAGCCACCCCAGGGACCCACTATGCCCTGCTGGTCTTCTCGCATCAAACCACCTTTCCTGTCCTTGCCGCAGCTCTGGGTAGGGTCCAAAAACATGCAGAGAGGAGACACAGGGAAGGGGAGATGCACGCAGGAGGCAGGAGCAGCCGCAGGGCATCCAGGCATCCCTCCCCAAGGAGCGCAGCTGAGAAGCGGTGGCTGCTGTGGGCTGGAGACGAAGGAGCATTTTATTTCTTTTAGATAAAAGAGAAACATCAGTAGAATGAGAAAAAAGGGCGTTGGGTTTTTTCTAGGCTGTCATGTGATTAAACACAGAGGAGACAGAAAGGTAGCAAACAGCCCCAAGCAGTCAAAAAATGAGAAACTTGGTGTTAGGAATCTCAAGATTTGGTTTTCTGGAATAAAATGCATTTTGGGGTCACTCACCCCAAAATTTGGCTGGGGATTCAAGCCTCTGGAAAGGTTTTGGGATCCATTGCCTCTTCCTGGATCTAAAAATTACATTTCCACTCCAACCACCTTGAAACCAAGGAGAAGTACTCCCTTCCAGCCTGAAGGAGGTGACCATGGGGACAGCAGCATGCGGTACCGAGGTGCCCTCCTGGCCCGGCCCAAGCCCTTCTCGCCCAGTGTTTCCCCACCGCCGGTGAATGACGAGGCTGGCAGTCCAGCAGGCACAGGGCCAGGCTGACCCTTGCCACCACAGGATGGTGGCCACGGGGCCAGCTGCATGGTCGCGGCACTGGGATGATGACTGTGGAACCGGGGAGGTGACAAAGCCACTAGAGGGCACAATTATGACAGAAACATGTCCCCGAATCAAAGGACCTCCAGCTCCCCCAGAGCAGCAGTCCCAGACGTCCCCAAACCCCCCTATCACCTCCCATCTCCAAAATGTCCACCCTTAGCTGAGGTCCTGCTGTCCCCAGGGCTTGTGTCCCCCCCCGGCGCTGGGGTGGCACTGCTGTACCTGGAGCTGCCGATGCTGCATAACAGAGTTGTGTCTGCCTGTTCAGCCACGGACACCCAATGTCCTGGCCCTGCTGGGACACCACCATCCCGGACAGCCCAAGACCCACAGCCTGGGGCGGTGGCAGTCCGTGCTGCACACAGGCAGCACCCCCAGCTTGCTGCCCTCCAGCTCGGGGGCTGCACAGCCCCGCAACACCCGCCCAGCACCAGCCTGACCCCGCATACCAGTCAGCACTTTCTCACGCCCAGGAAACAGGCTGAAGGGGACCCCCAGACCCTGTCCCCCACCAGCAATGCACCTTCTCCTGTTGGCACAAGACCCCGTCATACAGGGCTGGCTGCAGAGAGCCAGGCACCCCTGGCCAGGTGACGAGATGCAGGTCCTGCCAGGGAGCCATCTGGCCATCACCAAGGGATGCGTCCAGCATCCTTTTGTCCTTTTTCTTCTCCTTTCTCCCCTAGTGCGTCCTCCAGGCAGGCGCTCCCCTCCCCGCCCCTGCAGCCGGCACTACTTTCATTAAGGCTTTACCACCAAACCAAACACCATTTGTCAGGGAGATGGATGCCAGAGGCAGCTCTGCTGGAACAGATGCCCCCGTGCCCCCCCCAGCAAACACATGTTTCCACAGCCGCCTTCCAGTGTGCTGCACCCCTGCACGCACACTCACACACACATGTGCACACTGCCTGTGTGGGTTTGCTGTCCTTGATGCAGGATGGGGTGCTGGGTTGCAGGCTCAGCATCTCCTGGGCTGTATTCCTGCTCCCAACCCGATGGGCACCCTGGGGACTCCCCCCAACCCACAGGTGTCTGAGCCGCTCTCAGCACTGGGGGCTGCCCTGTTACAGCCCAGCCACCACCTTGGGCAGGGCTGGCAGGGTGCTGCCGCCCCGGTGGTGTTTGCACAGCTGCTGGGGCCGCACGCCCCTGGCCTGATCTGCTCTCCCTGCTTCCAGCTCCCATTCCAGCAACAGCAGCAGATCTGCTTCCCTCCAGCAGGAACTCAGAGCTGCTGGAGGCAGAGGCAGTAATACCCTCCGACCCCAGGCACACAGGGACTGATGCTGATTAAACGCAGCGCCAGCGCTGATAATTAATTTCTCAGAGGATGAATTGCTCGGCAAAGCTCCGGAGCGAATGTTGTTCTTCCTTCCATATGCCCGTTGAGCCTACTTGGACTTTTAAAAAAACTAACAGCAAAAGGGGAGGAAAGAGCATCCCCTGATGAACACCCACAGCTGTGCCCTGCCTGGGCTCAGGGTCCCTGCTGGGGTCGAGGTCTCTGCTGGGGGCTGTTCCCTGGAGCCATGCAGATGCAGGCAGGGTAAGAGGACACCCTGGCACTGTCCATGTCCCAGCCATCAGAAGACCCTCAGAGCCGACCACGGGCTTTGAGCAACCCCCCTCCAGGCAGTCCCTATGCCCCTGACCCAGCCCAGTCCCTCTGTGGGACCTCCCCAGGAGCTCACACAGATCTGCATGGAAGGCGTCTGCTCACCCTCTCCCAGGCCAC